CTATCTATCTATCTATCTATCTATCTATCTATCTATCTATCTATCTATCTATCTATCTATCTATCTATCTATCTATCTATCTATCTATCTATCTATCTATCTATCTATCTGATTTATAAACCACCCATTTGGCTACCAAGGCCACTGTGGGTGGTTTACACCAAAAAACAAAAAGAATAGTCAGCATCAACAAATTAAATAAAATAGACATTAAATTAATATAAAGGAACAAACATACACTAAACATTGTAAATTAACAAACATCATAAACTTTAAAATGCAACACAGAACAATGACATTTAATAAAAATGGTCAACATGGCAGAATCATTGGCTTAGGATTTGGTAAGACTCTGTGTTCTGTTGATGCAGTAAGCCTGTCTAAACAGCCATGTTTTCAGTGATGTTTGTATGCATGTATGGATATAATACTACATTGTATGTTTTCATTATAATGGATCCTTATAAGACAGGAGTGCAAGTAATTCCATGTATTTAACTGTACAAATTTTGATTTTCTATATTTAGTTACATAAAATATGTGTATCTTTTGCTTCCAGTGTACTCCCAAATGTGGTCCTGGTTTCAAGCATCGTATCGTTCTCTGTAAAAGCAGTGATCTTTCAAAAACATTTCCTGTTGCACATTGCCAAGAAGAAAACAAGCCTCCAGTCCGCATGCGATGTAGCTTGGGCAGGTGTCCACCACCACGATGGGTTACTGGTGATTGGGGGCAGGTAAAATATGTAGACTTCCTAAGTAGATGTAAAAATATATTGGTGGGTAGTATGTTGCTGGAGGAAAAAATAAATACAAATAGTCCTGAGTTGTTTTTTTTAAAAAAATTAATCTGTTACGGCATAAACTTCAATGCATGTAAGTATTTGTTGCCTTGCCTAACAAGACAATAAACATTATCACATCTTCCCACAAAATAGTATGTTATTGACTGAAATCTTGTTGTGCAGCTTTGTGTACATGATGGGAATGACAGCAGGAGGAGCAAATTGTTTCATATCAGACAAAAACAAAATAAAAATTAAAAACAAAAACAAAAATTATATATAGGTCCTTGTTTTCAGTTTCTAATATTTTGTGAAGTAGTGATTGCTGGGTGATCTGATATAAACTTCACATAGTGAGAAGATATAGTAAAACAATCTTCTATGAGTTAAAAATATACAGAATGAAGTTTGTATAGCAGAATGAGCCTTAACTAGTTTGACTTCACTTTACGCATTATGCCCAGTAAAACTAAAGGGATGAGGCTACCAATAGAGCTTTTATATCTGGCCCAGTTGGCAGTCATGACATACTGCACTAGCTGTGTCAGCAAATAGCAAGAAATAGATTTATGAAGCTAATCCCCCTATTGTGTCATATGACCAAATTCAAAATTCAGTAAGATTCTTTAGATTTTTTCAGACAATCTTCTAACAGAATAAATGCACAGTTCCTGTTAGGGGTATAATTAAGTCTTAACATATAACTAGTATTATAATACATAAATGTCGTAATTTATATTTCTTTCCCAAATCAGGACATTTTAGTCTCTGTGTCTCCTTTACTGAATAGCTAGTTCTTCAGTGTGGTCTCTGTGAATCACACATTTGGGTTAAATCAGCGCCTGCGCTGGAAATTCGGAAGCTTCTTTTCTGAAAAAGATACAAAGTTTAGGTTGCCCCTAGCACACATGCTCCATTCCCTCTCCGCCTCCAGTTCCTTTTTTTCCACCATTGTGCTAGGAACGTTTTGGACAGAGCTCTCTATTTTGATCGATTTGGCTTGATTTTGGACTGTATTTTTGACTATTCTTGCTTCTATTGCCCCTTAATCTTGGACTGCTTCGACTATTCTCTTGCCTGACGGACTTTGGCTCTTGTTTGACCAGTTTTTCCCACGCTTTGTGGATTGCCTGATTGCCAGGCTGATTGCCTCAGCGGGAAGCACCATTATCACCTCAGCGGGAGGCTCCATTATCCACTTATCTTCTGATTACCGTGAGAACTCAGGCTCCTATAGCCTTCTGTGTACTGTTTTATGTCCCCCTCAGGCCCTTTTAGTAAATGTAAGGCATGCTCCAGGAAGATACCCTTTTATGATAAGCATAGTCTTTGTTTATTTTGCCTCGGGAACGCGCATAATACGTCTACTTGCCGCCATTGTAAAGAATTTACTAAGGCTGCTTTGAAAGCGCACCAGCAGAGACTTAAGCTCTATCTTTGGGAAAAGACTCTGTTTGCAACCCATCCCTCAGAGATGGAGACTTCCTCCAATCCTTCAGGGACCCCTCGTTCTGAGACAACCGTGTCTCTCCCCTCTACATCTACTTCCAAGTCATCTGAGCCTTCTAAGAAAGCCAGCTCAGGTCCCTCCAAGAAGGCTCCTTCTACATCTAAGGGGCCTATTCCCAAGGACATTGCAAAGGCTAAAAAACAGGCTTGACAGCCTAAAAAGTCCAAGGCTAAAGAGATCACCTCTCTTCCACCTGTTACACCCTCACTGCCTTCACCAATTTTGGAGGATTCGTCAAGGGACGAATCCCTATGTGAAGTGGCTCCGTCTTTGCCACTCTCCCAGCAACCTGAGGCACCGCTTGAGCCTGGGCCAGTCCATATAAAGTTGAGGAGGCTGTGTTATCCAGCCCTCATTCTGCCCATCTTGGCCCTGCATCTGCCGGCCGGGCGACTGAAACTCCGCATTCCCCCCTTGCTCTCTGAGGAGAGATCTCCCTCCTCACAAAAAGGGGTCGAAAAGGCGGCATTCTTCCTCCGATTGACGTCGTGACTCTGACGTGGAGACTTCCCAACGTCAGAAGAGACACAGGCATGAACGATCTGG